TGGAACAGTTAAAGACTTGGTGTATTGTTGCTTCCTGTGATATTTTCTTCTGTCATCAGGCTCTTAAAGACCTCATGGTGGTTAGTGCTCTGCAAGGTCGTGGAAAGAAACAGACCCTCTGAAGCAGTGTTTTGATACTCTCTGCAAGCATGTCATAAATTCAACCCAAAGTGAATACAGTACAAAGGGATTGAATCGACACATTGCTGCCATATTGGTACACAGATATTTGGGCAACTTTTCAAAACTCAAGGGGGGCCAATTTCAAACTATGACAATATAGATGAATTATTGAAGACTCTTGCTATTGTGTGTCTTTAGGAAGGTATGTGTGTCCAAGAGATCCAATTAGTCCTTAGCCTGTGTAGATGTTTATGGAGACATTTCTTAAAATTATAACTATGTAGTTATACTAAATATGTTAAAATATGATTAATTTTAAGCATTGAGTGTATTTAAGGCAGAATAAGCTTATCAGGAGAATATTAGCATTTGTTAGATAAAAAAAAAATTTTTGGGAACAAGTATTAATTAATCCTTTAAGTTGGAACTATACCATAGATTGTCCTATTACTCATATACCTTTCTAAGAAAATGTTTTTGTTAGTTTAAAAAGTGAATAATGCAGTGATTTCTTTTATTCTTAATTGTAGTTTTCCTGTGGATATATTAAAAATATTTTGAAATAAATAATACTTTCTTTCTAAATCCTAGTTTTGTATCTTGTAATGGAATATGTACCATCGGGCTGATCACTGCAATGTCACAATATTGTTTTCCATTTTTATTTGAATGTAAATCACCAAATGAGAAGCAATGAAATTTCAAATTGCTAAGGTAATTTCTCTGTGATATTACTAGATGACTTGGACAAGTGTTAAAACAGTGATAAATGAAAATAAACAGCAGTATCAGAGAATACAAGATTTCTTGGTAACCACGGGTCAGACCTAGAGAATGTGTATCATTCTGCCCCAAGAAATTTGCCTCTTCATCAGTTCCCTGAAAAGAAATTAGTCTCACTCTGAAATGCTGGAGGTTTGAGATATTCCCATACTGGGTAAGAAGTGTGTTGCAAAGGAGAAATCCCAAATGCTTAAAATCTTTCTAAGGTAACAGACACAAGAGAATCCTTAGTCTTTGTCTGTAGCTTTGTAGTAAACAGTATTTTCTTAATATGTGGTTTTACTACCATATCTCATTCTGCTCTCTACCATCTCTCTTTTGGATGATTTCTTGATCAAACTAAGATTTCTTTTCATGATGTCCTCTGAAAGTATTCTGGAATTAAATGTATTTAGCTAAGGCAATCTTCATTTATATATATGTTTGTATTGAAAGAATTTTACTTATCACATTTTTCCATAATTCCCTTGTGTATTGATTGAACCCTTGTCAGGAACATACCAACATGCTGCTGTTCCTCCTGTATTGTAAACTTTTTCATGTATAATAAATTAATGGCTAGTACAGTTACTGATGTGTATAAATGCAGAAAGAACTTGTGCCGTGCCTTAGAAATGAGGGTAAATATTAGCAGAGAAATACTAGGATACAAGTAAAAGCCATGTGACACAAATAGAAGAATATCAATGATCAATGAGTATTAATGATACTCCATTATATGGAATGATATTAGCCAATATGGGCTAATATCAAGCCACATCTTGCTCATCAAGAGAAAGCAAAATTTCCTAAACCATTACTTTAATTAAAGTTACCTGAAATTTAGTTTCTGGAGGGTTCTGGTGGGATTTTTCATTTGGGTGGATTTTTTTTTTTGTTGGTTGGTTGGTTGGTTGGTTGATTAGTAATGGTTTGGTTTTTTTATTCTTACTGCAGCTTCTGCAATGTCCGTAATTTTGATGATCGTCCTTTGAAAATCTGGCACTCTTTTACAGTCCATTTAGTATCAAATGGATATTACACTTTAGACAAAACACACAGGTTAATGTGAAGAGAGGTAGCTCAGTTTAGCAAATGTTTGGTTATGTGCATAACTTGGGGGCTGTGAGTAGTCTAACTTTACTTGCCTTTACTTTTAAGCCTCATACTATGATACACTGCAAAACTTGGGTGACTTTAGTGTTTGCAAAGATACAAGCTTCTTCTGCAATAATAATGTTAGAATTTCTTTATTGAGCTATTCGGTGACCTGTTCCTATAAAACTGAAGCTACCAACCATTTTAAACAGCCTTCCTGAAAGCTCTTTGCATGTATAGTTACTTTTCACAGCAAGAAGAACTTCTGATGCATATGTCACCAATACTTGAAGACATAACTGTCACATGTCAGTGCTGTCACTGTTATAATATTCCTGTGAATATTAAGAGTAATGCAATCTATACAAATCTCTTTGGAAAATAGCTTAGGGCCAAATGTCATTATGTACTAGAGAAAACAAATAGTTGTCTTTCTGCTGGTGCACAGGCTTTGGAACTTGTGCCAGTGTTTGTGCAAAACAATCCTAACCGTGGATGGTATTCCATAGAATTAAAGTTGCTTTAACTGAATGCTTAGCTCAAAGGTAATGAAAACTGTTCTATATTTGACAGGGAATTATATACTGTACATAAAATAACAGTAAAACACCAGTAAACAAACCCTTCTGTTCTTGCTTTTCCTGAAATTGGAAATAAAGCTAAATTGCCCCTTCACTCCAATATCCTTTTTAGAAGCTCTTGAATTTTGCTCACTCAGTGGTATATTGCTGAAATGGCAAACTCTCTTCCAGTAATTTTAGGAAAAGCTATCATCAAGCTGTCAACAGTCTAAATTGAGATTAAAAGTACCAAAGAGAAACCTTCCCTGTTATCAGAGTCCCAAATAAGTACACTTGAATAGGCAGATAACATCTAGAGTGTACAGTATGAGACCACTTATTCCTCCAGGTTTTTGAGTGATTTACAGGGATGAAGTCTTATGTTAAATAGTTAGTGACATTTTTGTTCTTGTCTTACCCAGAACCATTCAACCTAAAGAAAATACATAGTTGTGAACAAATGCCTGTTCTTGGAATTAGTTTCAAATACCCACTGCAGGGTATAAGGAGCTTCTATCTCTCCCTCTGACATGTTATGTGCCCTCAGCTCATATTGGTCATCAGAGAGAAGATTTCCAATACTTTGTAGTCCAGAGTAGATTGAGCTTCATGTTTACAGTTTACCAAAATCAAAGTATTATTCACTCTAGCTGAAGGTGAGAGTTCTGTCTATAGCAATATGTCTCTGAAGAAGAGGTTCCCTGATTTATTATCACTGGTGAGTCAGCAGAGGCAGGATATTCTATATTTTTATTCATATCTGATAAGTAGCATCCTTGCTGTTTAGGCAAACCAGTCTCTATTTAGACATTTGTTTCGATGCATGATGCATATTCATGTTGTGACCTGATTTTTGCTAGGGACAAAAATGGGATTATAACTATGGTCTGACATAGAAATTGGTGGCTGGTCTCCAAAAGCTTAATATACTAATCTACTCAGTCACTTAGCTCTTAACATTTTTATATACTATCAACTAGGAGTCCAATAGCTACAACAAAGAAGATTTTTAAGTTACAGCCTTTAATAAACTATTAGCATGATTAATTTTCATTGTTGTGGATTTCTGATTATCATTCTCAGGTTTGGTCTGGCAATTAAGATTTGAATCAGTATTTAAGCTTTGTCTTTCCCAAAATATTATAGTCCTGTTTTACAGCTTTATCAGATGTTGTAAATCTGTTTTTTAATTCTTCACGATTAATAAAAATATATAAATTTTGAGGATATGATTAATTACAAAGTAAGATTGAGGTGGATTCCTTTGATTGACTTCTGCAGCTTACAAGTCAATATCTCATTAGGGAAAAAACTGCATGGAAAATAGTAATTATTCTCTCAACACTCACTTTAGTAACTTATCATGAGATTCAAGAAATAGTTTATCTTTTGTATTTTTTCTCTTTATTTGCCTTATTTTTGCTATTAGAAATTATCGTGTAACTTTTAGTGAACATTGTCATTTGTGTCTTCTATTAAAACACATCATCTTTTTATGTGTGTTGAAATGGGTAGATTGTAAACACTCCAGAGCAAACTCTATATTTGAAACTGGACATATTACTACCATGATATCAATCTGTATAAGTTAAACTGAATTTTAAAAACTGGTGATGATTCATATTCACCAACACAATCCTTTATTTTCATATCTTCTTCCAGCAATGCAACACTGCTTCTCTATAACTAAAAACCAAGATGGTAAATGTGGCTTGTCTTGGCTTTATATTGTTCTTTCCTTCAACAGAAACATCCAACTGAAGGAAGATTACTTTACTATAAAGTATAGTTTTACAGTCTAATCTTTTTAAAATTGGAATGAGAGGATCTTGAGACTTTTATTATGGAGAAAGATTTGTGTTTCTTCTCTTCTCCCTTAACATTTTGGTATTAAGGTTTCTGACCTAGTCTTCTTGGGTATTTAATTCTTTTATTAGACTCCTGGTGTGGATTTTAAGTGTTTATTATTAATTCTATATACTCATACACTTTTTTTGCATAATAGGCACTATAATTTGTAATGGATCACTTCATTTAGTTCACAGGATGGTGGAAAAGGAAACTATTTTTGTTCTTTTTAGTTTTGAAAAGTATCTAAAGTGTCCTTACATGTAGACTCATTCATATCTTCCTTTATGTACATATCAATCTGTTTCAGCAAGAGGAACATTTTTAGCATTGCCTAACGATTTCCTGATGGTAATTGTTTTAAGTTGTTAGCTGTATGAAAATATTCTTTTAGCAATGATACTTCATTTATGTTGTTGGGTAAACTCTTTTGAGTGCAGCTACCTTGAGGGACTGCAAGCAACCTTAACAAAAAACAACTTAATCCTCCAAGGCTGGTGACTCTGTGCACCTGTAACCCCATCACAGCACTCATCTTGCAGGTGCATCCGCTTTGTATCATCATTGACCTCCACTCAGAATGCTGATAATGTTGGTTTTATCACACAGGCCTCCTGTGATGCTGCTTCTGCCTCTCCAGAGATGCACTATACACCTCTGCCTTCCGGATCCAGAGACCTCACCAATCACAGAGGTATGAACTAAACTTTTATTGGTATGAACTGCTGCAAGGTGATAAGCTTTACTGTAAGGACTTCTCTGTGTTAGTTACTGCTGCATTTCACTTTGCAGAGAACACCATGCCTTTCAAACACTAGATGAGAAAACCATACCTGTCAAGACTACAGATTTTAACTCATATTAAATAGGATTTAAAGGTAGTCCACTGGGAAAGCAAATAAATCTATGGATAATAACATTCAGTGATTTGTGTGTGTGTGAGAGAGAAAAACGTGAAGAGATTAGAGTGCTTAAACATTGCTAAGTAGATGATTACATGCAGCACTGGTAATTTTGAGAGAATTTGTAAACTTTCTAGTATTTGTAAAGAGAGCTTTTTGGCAGTTTAACAATTTAGGTCTATAATTTTGAAATGTTCACACATTTTCATTGCAATAAAAAGGGATTCTTCTCTGTTTTTCAACATTAAAGGCAGATCAGTGTTCAATTTCCTTTTTCATCAATCCTCAGATCTTAGAAAACACCTTAGGCAAATTTTCAAATTCCTTCTGCATACCAATGGAACAAAAAATTCAGGGAACAGGTGGAAAATTGAAGTCAGGAAGAGTACATTCCAAGTTTTTTCACCTCTGTTCAAAAAAAAAAAAGAGAAATTTGTAAAGCTTGGAGTACTTTTTTAGCTTTTAGCCTAAAACAGAGCAATGATCCTCTTATTTATTTTTTGTTATACGTTATTTCTACATTGATAATCTAAATAGTTTGTGTAGAAGCAGGTTTTGTATAGGATCCCAGAGTCAAAGTTAACCTTACATTTATGAATTGATGGTAGCTTATTTTAGTGTGTGTTCAAATTCTACAGCACTACAGAAGATGGAGGCAGCTTTAGTAGATTTTCATATTGCTTGAAACTTTCTGAGAGCATCAGGCAGGCAATGCACCTGAGCAAGGATCTGTGATTCAGGTGGGAAGGATGAGGAAAGCAACAGATTAGATTTTAAGTCATTGCAGCCTATATAACTGTCATTGTACCAGAGCTGAAGATGAATGTGAAGCTACATCGTGGCTTTGGTGTAAATTGATGTGGCATCCTGGAAATCAGATGTCCTGGAAGTGCTGTAGTGCGTTGTGTTTGGACACTGACCTCATGTAGAAACTGATACTTCCTAAGGAGGAAGGACCAACCAAAATCTTAGATTTGAGCACACAGCTGGACTTCAGAGATTAAAATAAAAACAGAAACCCCCCCAAAAACCCTGCAACCCATTGCCCTCCTGCTCTCCCCCACCAGCATAAGTGCCTTTGAATTTCAGATAACCATGTTGGCTTTAAGGTTGGATTTCTAGTGTTGGATTAAGTAGCTATACTCTACTAAGACAATAAATAGAATGACAGAATGTTGTACATCCCTGATGTCTATAAAAATACATAAAAAGTACCATTAAATGCCACGTATTCTCAGATCTTTTTATTTAGATGATGGTGAATTGGAAGTGTGGCTTCATGGCTGATTTTGTTATCTGACTTGACAAAAGAAATGCCAGTAGCATTAAGTATGAAAAGTTGTGTGCCTGCGTTATTGATTGACTTCTCTTGCAGTAAAGCAATTGTGTGGCTCTAGCAGGCATTGCAGATGTGTCCATGTGGGTGTTCATTCAGAACTGGAGCTTACCAGGTTCTAAGCACCACTGGCATTACTAAGATTTGAGAATACCTGCTCTCTTGCAATGAAAGGGGAAAATTATATTCCCCAAATTATGAACTTTTTACCTATAGCTATTCATATAATTCTTTATTACTTGTCTTTACTCTTCTCAGAGATCCTATGCTCTGTATGCTAAATATCCTGAGAATTTCCTTGTGTTTAAGCACAGTTATAAATAAAGTGAATGGAGAAGAGAGTGTCATCCAAAGAAAGGGTAAAATTATCCCTAAAAAGACATTGTTAGCATGATCTGATAAGCTTAAGTAAGTATATACAAATGTATATATATATATTCACAAGGAAATAATTAAGGAAACTTTTCATAATTCCAGGTGTTGGAACAACCAATTCAACAACCTCCTGGCAGGGTCCATTAACTCAATCAACTTCTTTTATACAAAGAAAAATCTCTAACTTCACAAGCCCATAAAAGATTAATTGGAGTCAATAGAAAAACCTCCAAGGAAAGAATGAAATACTTAAACAGGTTCTGAATATCTTCAAGTTTTTTTTCTTCGTTGAGTGCTTTCAGTGTTGTAAAATAGGATTGAGTCAGCTGTTGATATGTAAACATTGGCAGTTTTCAATGCATACTGGAAAGAAGAATGCTGTAAGTTTGTGAGTGTTCTTATTTGTCCCTGGAGAAACTTGTTTATCAGAATCCTAAAGTCTGGCAAATGGTTTGGTGCAGCTGTAAATTGATTTTTGGGTTGAGAGGGGGAAGAGGAGCAAGTTGGATATATTTGATTGTTACAATTATATTACTTAGACATTTCTCACTCTGTTTGCTCTCCCTGTGAAAAATCATAGCTAAAAACGTATAATTATGCATGAGTTACACCGTGTATCTTGTAGGTTTTTTGTTCATGCATACAGCATATAAGAATCTGGTCTTTTTAGATTGACTCCATGTTTTGTACAGTCAATTTCAGGAATGGTAAAAATCTTATTCTCTCTTTCAAAGCCCACAGAAACAGCATATGTCAGTGTGACATAAGCATGGAATGATATGGAATAATCACTGTAAATATTCTATCGAGTGTTATGATGTTTGAGTATGAAAAGAGCAATAAATGTTGGATATGTATTTTGAAGCTTCAGGAGATTTCTCCCCATTTCGGGAAAGTTGTTTTCCCTTGTATTACTTTCTTGCTTAGACTCACTTCTCTAAGTTGAACTTTCACTCAGTCCCACTGTTCATATTTTTCAGCAAAAAATATATTGGCCTTCTATTTAGGTTTTGGGTATCTGACAACAATATGACTTGATTCTTTACGTGATCTAATTGCAGTCCCATTAGGCAAGCCTTCAAAAGTGGTAATTTTATAGCTGGCTGTATTTTTGTTTTTATTCCAAAACAATGATTTCAAACTCCTAAGGGTTTTTTCTTTATCTTTGTTAAACTAGCATTTTGTATTTCATTTTACATGGATTTAAACTCCATTGTATGAAACAGAACTATTTGTAGAGTTCTCTTACCTACTTAAAATGAGTCAGTTTGAAGACACAGCCTCCTGTCATACAAAGCACTTAATTTATTTCTAAATTCCATTACTTGTATTGTGCTAATTTTCAGTTTTTCTGATGAAATAAAATAAATGGGCCTCCCCTTTCTGTCTGCTTGCCCAGATCTACCTTTAAGGAAAAAAAAATCAAACAGAACAGTTACTTATTGTTGTTTTTTAAATAGAAATGGCCATGCTCCCAATACACAAAAGTAATGAAGTGTAGTGCCTTTTAGCAGAAACTTGGTCCAAAAATTTTGGGGTTTATGTAATTTTTTTAGCGGTTTGCATGTATGTCCCAGGTACATTTCTGTTCCTTATTGATAATTTATTAACTAGGTACATATCTCAAAATAGAGCTTTCAATTCTTAACATAGTTGGCATTGATGAAAAAGCAATTTAAAAATCATAATAATGTATTTTTAAAGATAATTTTTTTAAGTGTGGAGAAAGGCTTCCCACCCTTCAAGCCACTCAAATTGTATATTTGTTTTTCATAATGATGTCTTTGGTAAGGAAGTGCCTTTGTTATGTGTAAGTATTCAAAGGCAAATTGCCTTCCAAAAGAACAGTAGTTTCCAGCTGCTGGGGAAAATAGTAGTTTATCATTCTATCTCTTCAGAAGCAATATCACTAAATCATGACTATCATGAAAATCTGTTTTTCCCATATAAAAATATGTGCTGGATGCCCTTTGTATAAACAGTTACTTTATAACATTGTCTGTTACCTGATTTACTTGAAAACATATTAATTTGCCAAAGTGATTTGGTTTCCAGTAACATTTTACAAATTACTCCTCCTTTTCTTGTGCTCTTATTTCTGGGAACAACCAGTGGTAAGTCTGCCCCATAGCTTACTGGTAAAAGGAAGAAGAAGCAGTTTCTATTAAATACTAAGCCTGTATTTATGTAAGTAGTTTTTAGAGCCTTAGCTTGGATTTAGGCCAAGGTTTAATAGTTCCAATCTATTCTGACTGGTAAGAACTTTCTGAACAAATCCACTGTCCTGTTTTGGTGTCTATACAGTTAATTACCCAAGTGTTCTGCTGTATGCAGGCATTGCATTGTCTCATTTTATGTTTGAATGATGAGAGCCCAAATGAATATTTATTCTGCTAATATGTTTGAAGCAACTGACAGATATGTTTTCTTATTTTCTAATCTGATTTGAAAAGTCATAAACTGAATTCAGTGTCAATGTCCAGAAAACCAGGGACAGAATATTTTAAAGCTTCCTATTAATCCTCTGACAGTAATTTTTATAGAGCCTTTTTGAACAAAGGAAAAGAGAGGTTCCTCCTGCTCTCAGTTTCTCTTTTTGTCTACATTTCTAAGCAAGTAAAAGTATGTAGGCATATAATCAGATAGAGAGACACCTGAATTTGATATGTTTCTTCTTTTCTGTGATCATTTTACCATGCTATTGTACTCAGAGAGTGTTTGGCATAGTAATTTTTGCTAATGCCTCTGGAATATCTATACAGAATTCATTCTGATTGATTGTTAGGGTGTACCACGCAGAAAACCAGCCAGTAGCTTTGTAGGAGTTGAGATACAAACTCGATCAAGACAGAAGTGGACTTTAGAATGCACAAAAAGTGTTTAGCCATCCAGTTGTGCTTGAATTCACAATCCAATAGATGTCAAAGGACACCTACTGCTTTCAACAGTTGGTGTTGAAGGAAAAAGGTAGAATTTTTTGGGAGACAGAGAGAGTAGTGTAGTTGCTGTGACATGTGAAGGTCCCAAGCTATCCTCTGAGGATTTACCTGTTGTGCCTCAATTTGCTCAGCTTGCTCACAC